TAGCAAACAGGTAAGAGCCTCGCATCAAGTAGCAAGCATGTTTATTGGTTGCATCTCAATGCAATCAATTGAAGAAAAGAAACGGTAGGCAGATAGTTACTGTCAATCATTTTGTAACGATAGACTTGTGTAGCAAAGGTTAAAGTTTTATTCGCGAACTAAACACTGGTCGACTATTGCATTTGCCTTTTTTCTTTGTTGCAGCCATCATGGGCTTATCTGGAGTATGATTCAACGCTCCCAGCGGTTGTGCAGCCTCAGCTAAATTACCAGGCACCCGAATGCATATTAGCGAGTACCAATGGACCGTTCAGCGATATCTTTGCCCTGGGCATGCTCATATATACGATACATTCCTCGGAGCACCAACCGCTACTGGACTCTCATAATGATTTAGGAAAATGCCGACGCTTCTTGGAAAATTTCAAAGGATCTAATGTCTCGGCAAAGCTCCTGCCAGTCCCCGAGACTCTGCGAGATACCGTAAAGCTCATGCTGAGTCATAGTCCCGAATTGCGATTGGATGCTCATCAATTTATCAAGGTAGTCTATTTCCTCTTTCCTCAAGTGATTTATTTTATGCAAAATGCGTCAAGTTTTAAAGGAAAAAGAGAAACGTGGTTAAGATACTTGAAAGTGTAAAAGAGGAATTCCTAAAGTACTGATATTTACCGCAACGTTATAAATTGTTGCAGATCGAATATTTCACGGATATTGGCGTCAAGACGTTGAATTACTTGGACAAGATATTCCAATGGGATAATCTTCAAAAGTCGCAATTTTACAAAGGTCTTCCGCAGCTATTGAAACAGTTACCACATAGAGTTGTGCTGCACAGAGTATTGCCTGCTCTCTACAAGGAGCTAGTTAATCCACCCATGATACCGTTTGTATTGCCGAGCATACTGCAGGTAATGGAGGTTACCGAGATAGAGGAATTCCGAGAACATATCCTACCTAATTTAAAACCTGTTCTTGCTCTGGAAGACCCGCCACAAGTAAGTGTACATTTCCCTGCAAGGCCGGTAAAGTGAGAGATGTGTAAGAAATTAAAATTAATGACGAAACATTTACGTAATGTACAAAACGTTTTTCCCTTTTTTTTTAATAGATCAGCCTAGTTCTCATGCAGCAAGTAAATTTATTATTGAAATTATGCCCCACGGACGTCATTAAGACCGACATAGTGCCTATGCTACTGCGTGCATTGGAATCCGAATGGGAACAGCTACAGGAGCTCTGCTTGTCGGCTCTACCGAACATAGTGACGATGATCGAGGGACCAGTCATAAAAAACGCCATACTCCCGCGGATGAAAAAGATATGCTTGTCGCCGGGAAAGAAACCTACTAGTCTTGGGGTACGCGTCAATTGCTTGCTGTGTCTCGCGAAAATGCTGCCGAGTTTCGATCGCTGGCTGGTGTTCGATCAGATATTACCGTTCCTTCAGGAAGTACCTCATTCTGGCGAACCAGCAATTTTAATGGCTATTATAGGTAACGGTTTAAAAGTGATTTTACATTGATTGTAGCTTGCCGAATTTCTCGCCGGAAAAAAAATTGATAAAAATATCTTCCGTATTGCCAGGTATTTACAGAATGTTGCTTACTCACAGTAAGCTGGGTATGGGCAAAGAAATATTAGCGACGAAAGTATTGCCTTTTCTGTTACCTCTCTGCATGGAACAGAATCTTAGCACGTCGGCAATACGAAACACTTTCCACGCTAGTCGTCGATATGATAAGCCGAGTAACCAGCGAGCATCGAGAGGCATTACGACAATTGGATGCGGTGCGTCGTGAGACGCAACAACTCGATCAGGCGCTTTCTCAAGTGACGTCGCCCACTTTTATGCAAAACAACAGTCTAAGCGACATTAATCTAACTCCTCAAGTTCTATCCCCGAACGCTAATACTAAGACAGTGAATATTGAAAATGGATTAACTATCGAAGACAAGTACAGGTTTGCCTCAGCTATTTCGAAAACTTTTACATGTTTCATATTCAACGCATTGATTACGATATACATCGATGATTTCTTTCCAGATTAATTCAACAGCAAGAAACACATCAAAGATTGC